CGTTCCAGCATCATATTTTCGACCACCCGATAAAGTAGATATTATCATACAGCCTGTATTATCTACAGTGTTCTCAATGTTTCTGCAAACACAGGTCTCAACTGTTCGGTTCAGAAAATATGGCCAGTGTGGGCAGACACTGACGGGCTGCAGGGAAAAAGAAGAAACTCCACCTACTCAATGAACAAAGTTCCCGCATGGAGTCCAGAGCTGAACTTCAAGAAATGGATCAAGTGTTCTATTTTTAAAGAAAGATCGCTAGACTTGAAAAAAAAAAATCACTAAGACACTCCCAGTGCTGTACCAGAGAGGCCAGTGTCTCAGTATCTTTCAAACTGGCTGCTGAATTCATCAGAGAGGAACCAAATGTTTTTAACAATAGATCCTCTCTGTCTGTCTGTCTGTCTCTATGATGACACGTGTAGATTCACATCTGCATTGTTTTGAAAGAAACCTCATTATGCTCTCTTACCAAGTATTATTTTAGATGCCAGTTAACTCTCCCAAAACCCTCCCCCCAAGTAACCTTAAAGTAAATAAACTTATTATACAGCCATGTTCCTGCAGAAGTTTGAATCACACCAAGAATGCATATCCTTAAAAGGAAATGTTTTCCCTCCCCTTGCATCCTGTTATTTAAGCTATTTTAAGTACTTGTCTGGCGAAAGCTGAGCCAGAATTCAAGTAGTTTTGATTTTACCTCTGTTTTACACTGCCCATGTCCAGGTGGTATGTGGTACAATCTATCACTTCAAATGCATCTTTTGGGGTGCTACTTTGTCTTATAAATCTGACAGTGAGAGAGAACGGGATTTCCCTTGACCCCTGGCTTTTGTGTGTATCTGTGTGTTGCTTTATTCATCCTTGAATCTGTTAAATCTAGTGTCTTTCTTTATAAACAGGTCACGTATGTGTGTCCTCATCTGCAATACATATGCAACCTCTTTACAAACCCACTACGGACAGTACTCATTAGGACTTAAAGAAGAAAACCAATCAAGTGCAGATGCACATCCTTTCAGAAAAGCTGTGTTTAAAAGTTCCATTTAGTTTAACCAATATATTCCACAAATTTTTTGCACTAAAAAAATGACAAAAGGAATCTATATATCTAACAATAATGGATTTAAACACACACACACACGATCCTGATTGCCTATGAAAGCACACAAAATATTAATTTAAAAGACTCAGCCAAAAGACTTGTGCAGAAGAATTTAGATTATATTCCACCCTCAGATCTAAGCAATAAAGTCGAGCTTTCATTAGGCATTAAAACTTTAGAAAAGGCAGCTGCTAAACATCTCCAGATGCTTAAACACGGGTTTTGCCTTTCACAGCTTATACCTTTTGAGGTAGCTCATTCCAGCGAATACATATAAGAGGCAGTTTAATGAGTCCCAGCTAAGGATAGAATAGAGGTCGCTACCAAAGAGTTCATCCTAATAGTGGATCCCCAAAGGTGGAGGTCAATTACAGCTGAAGGCTGGACAAGGTTAGAGGGCTGAGACCAGGCAATCAAAAATGCTATCAACTGTTTTCCAACTCAAAATTTCCAGCAGTTTGGCTATCATTTTCCACCTGCTGCCACTTTCCCACTTAAAAAATACACACACACACGAGCGCATTCTCGCACACCCCCAATCTGTGTTCCTATCTTCCACACAGTCAAAACATGGTTTTCAGACTATCCTGAGACCTTCATTTCTAATATTCCATCAATAATTAACCAGATGGCACAGTGAAAGAGCACTGGTTTATTTATTTATTTTGGTTGGGCTGTAGTTTTAATTTTTTAAGCCATAATTAAACAAATATGCACTGGTGTCATCTTATTGAATACTAAAAGTAAATTCAAAGAAACCACCATGCTTTTTGTGGCATCATCCTGATGTGGTTTTTATATACTAGAGAATATCAAGTAATTTGAAATAACTCAACTTCCTGAGATGAGAAAATCTGGTACAGCTACAATCACCATAACCAAAAATTGTTGTCTTAGTTTGGTGGGCAGCCTCAAAGGAATAAACCCACATTCTTCCTAGTCATTTATGAAACCCCATTATTTTATTTCAGAAGTGTTGGATTCCTGTTTGGAAAAAAAACCTGAGCGGCTATTGCTTAGGAGAGAAAAAAACGTTTGCAGGACTAAAGCCAATCTGAGAAGATCTACAATACATGAATTTATCTTTATGACAAGGCATCATTCAAATGACCTTTAGCTTCTATAACAAGATTAAAGTCCCAGAGCGTAAAAGACATTTTCTCCTTGGTAAAATATTTACTTCCCATGTGTTCTGAAAAGTTTTATTTATTCTTCTTTAGAATGAACTTATACAGCATTGCAGCATTTTAAATTAAAACAGAAACATTATGAAGTAGGAAAAAATGAGAGCCAAGGATTCTGCTATCCCAGTGGAAAATACTAGAAACAAATGTTGAGAAAACGAAAATAATTAAATGAAAATATACTGCTTGGAACTTAACACTAAGCAGGTGCAGAAAGTGAGTGAAAGGAGAATGTAAATCTTAATACTCGATTTTTATTGCTAGTAAAGAGAGTTTCAAAGCACTATTAATTGATTGAACAAAACCCATGATTAGTGGTAATTACAGAGATTTTCTCCACACACTATTATTTTGCTGAATTTCTAAAGAGATAATCAAGGCTATTATTTTTAATAGACGGGAAAAATCATATAATGATTTCCATATTGTGTCACAATTGAACTGAGACAAAGTAGTCTTCCCTCCCCTCCCCTCCCCATAAGAAAGAATTGTCAGGAAAATAGGTTATAGAGCTTGTTTTTAAAATCAAGTTTCCCTGAATGAAAAAAAAAAGGATTTCCATAACACCTTTGACAGTTGCCTAAGGGCTCTGCAAATAAGAATAACTAAAAACTACAAATATTTTAAGGGAAAATCAAAAGATTCAGCTGGGTCTTTAAACACTTTTCTAAAAGACAGACTATACACAAGCATATTAAAAATATGCTGAAAAATATAAATTTTATGTGTTACATTGTAATGGCCAAAGCCTTCAGAATAAATTCCGTCATCATGAAAATCTTCATAACAAAGACCGCTTGTGATAATGACAAAGTCCCAGTACATGAAAAGACTACCTATAATTCCTTGGAATTCAATCAATTAACTATTTATGTATTGAAAACCTAACATGTGCAACAGTGAGCTAGATACTGAGGGGGAATACAAAATAATAATATGTGGAACAGGCAGAAATTTTGGACTCCAGAATTCCTATTTACAGCATATAGAGTAATAAGAGTATCATAGAAGTACATGCCTGGTAGGGCTTCAATAAGACACACGGCTCAATCTCCCGCCTTTGGGAAGGTGTTTGCCTACCCTAAACCCTCCAAGATGTATGATTTAAAGTAAGACAGTAGTTCCACAATGACCCTTTCTTGCAGTCCAAGCTCTAATTGATCTCTCAGACCAATTTAGCCCTGTTTCCTCCTTGGAGATAACTGGTCAACCCTCTTTATATCATTAAGCTTTAAAAGAGCAATTAAGCTCTTTTACTGATAAAAGTATCCCAGTGCCATCAGGTAAACCATATTCAAATTAGCTTTAATTTTTAAAAAATATTGCACACAAATATTTCCAAGATGCTGCACATGAGAATAAGGCTTGTACTCAACAATAAACATTGATTTGAGGAGGTGAGGCCTTGAAGATTAAGCAATAGCAATAAGGTCCCCACCCCCAAATCCTATTCGTAAAAAAAACAAATCAGGCTGTCCCAAACACTGAAAGATGAATATAAATAAAACAGAAGGTTTGAAGGAAACAATTATGATAAGAACAATTTCTACAGAATAATGCGATTTAAAAAGTCTTGCAGCCAAGAATTCACCTGCTGTTTTTCATAATCAATCTATATTAAACTGAGTAGTACACTTCCTCCAGTAAGTGGTATCTATGGCAAGTTAATTGACTGCCTTTTTTTCGTACACACACACACACACACACACACACACACACACACAAAAGTGTTAGATCCAGGACTTATTTTTTCCTAGTTAGAATTCTGATGGGATTATGAATAGTCATGCTGGCTGGGGGAGTCATTATTTTTCCCAAGGCATGTTGTTATTACTAAATGACTTCATAGAAAATGTTGCTCATAAATGTATGGGAATAGGGATGTGTATTTCCTCACTTTTCACTGATGGGGTTCCCAACACAGGTCAAAGAGTAGATTCTGATTTAAATAACAAATCATTTTGATTTAACTTCATACCCTTTAATCAAGGAGATACCAAATAGTATTAGTCTTCCTCGCAAAGCACATGTTGACTCATGTGAGCACACACATCAATAATCAGGTCTTACCCTGTTTTCTCATTATCTCCACTGACTTGACCTGAGCACTGAAATTTGGAATGTAAATACTATAAATTGCTTCCAATTCAGCTGCTGAATTCGAAGACATGTTATATGATGTTTAAGGATAAACCAAGTGGCAGGCTAATCCTTCCCATCTTATACTGATGCTAATTCAATTTAAGAAGGTCGAACAGTGTGCATTCTCCAAAGGCACATAAGATCCATGAAAAAGGCAGGAAAGCCACGCTGATTAGGGAAAGGTAAAACATCATCTAATGGTTCTTAACATCTTCAGGGGTCACCTGGCCCTTTAAGAATATGGTGAAAGCTCCAAATCCTCTCCTCAGAAAAATATGATAAACAAAATACGATAACAACACAAAATTTGTCTAAAAATTTCAGGAGCCACAGCAGCCCCCAGTTAAAGACTGGGATCCTGGACTAAAAACCTTTGACCATATTAGACACTAGATATAATTAGCAATAACACAGTTTAAAGTGTAGCTTCTAAAACTTTATTCCATTGGTTCTAACCATCTTGCCCTAAGTTTCATGATTAACCATTCATATAATTTTTCAGAGAAATAACTTTGATTAGTACCAAATAAAGTTTGCTTTACTATAGTTACTCTACAAAAAACACTTACCGACTTTTGCAAAGGCCTCTTTGAGTTCATCAAGCTCATCTTTGGAAATCTGAGTGGTAGCCATCTCATCCATTTAAAGATCTAAAGAGAAACCAGAAGGGTTTAAGACTTTAAACAGAAACAGAGTCATAGATACAGAGAACAAACAGGTAGTTGCCAGAGGGGAGGGTGGAGGGGGAGGAAAGAAATGTGAGGGAGCTTAAGAGGTACAAACTTCCAATTATAAATTGGAAAATAAATAAGTCACAGGTATGAAATGTACAGTGTGGGGAACACAGTTAATAACTATGTAATATCTTTGTGTGGTGACACATAACAACTAGACTTATCATGGTGATCAGTTTGAAATGTACAGAAATATCGAATCACTACGTTGAGTAACAGGAACTAACAGTGTTGTGGGTCAATTATACTTCAAAAACAAACTCACAGAAAAAGAGATCAGATTTGCGGTTACCAGAGGCAGAGGTAAAGGGAGGGGGAATTGGATGAAGGTGATCAAAAGGTACAAACTTCCAGTGATAAGATAAATAAGCACTAGGGATGTAATGTACAACACGATAAATATAATTAAAACTGCTGTGTGTTATATATGAAAGTTGTTAAGAGAGGAAATCCTGAGTTCTCATCACAAGGAAAACAATTTTTTTCTATTTCTTTTATTTTGTATCTATATGAGATAATGCATGCTTACTAAATTTATTATAATTATTTCATGATGTATAGAAATCATTTTGCTGTTCACCTTAAACTTATACAGTGCTGTATGTCAATTATATCTCAATGAAACTGGAAGAAAACATTTTTTTAAGACTTAAAAAAATTTTGTGATGATTATAAGCACTCCTGCAAACTCTCATTTTAGGGATAATTTAGACTTTCTAGAAATGCAAACTACTAAAACCATCTGAATAGGTCCTCATATTTCTAGCTACAGCCATAATAAAGAAAACAAACAAATGAGAAGTTATCATTTACCAAAAGTTATTCAGAAAAAAATACTTGTGAATCTTCCTTTCAAGGACAAAATCTTACATTATGTTCAAAGAATGTAAGGAAGGGGAAGGTACCAAGTAATGACAGAAATTCTTGGTTACATGTGCCAAAACTAAGTCAAAATTATGTGACCAAAGATTCGTGTAAAATATAACTTTTTTGGGACTTCCCTGGCGGTCCAGTAGTTAGGACTCCAAGCTTCCACTTCAGGGGGCACGGGTTCGATCCCTGACTGGGGAACTAATATCCCGAATGCCATGTGGCGTGGCCAATAAATAAATAAATGAATGAATAAGTGTTAAAAAAAATAACGTTTTCATTTAGCATTTACGTATCTATCTATCTTACTGGCTATTTCCATTTTTCCCATCTTTATTGAGATATGTGACATATGATACTGTGTGAGTTTAAGGTGTATATCATAATGATTTGATATACATATATATTGCAAAATGATTACCACAATAAAAGTTAACACATCTATCACCTCACATAGTTATCACCATTTTTTCCATTTATATATCACCATTTCCATATATCACCATTTTTTTTCCATTAAGCCATTTAAAAATCTTTCACTGTGAAAAAACTGATTTTCAGGTAGTATAAAAACAGCTATCAATCATTCCCATTAAAGGAGGAGTCAACTGGGCTTCCCTGGTGGCGCAGTGGTTGAGCGTCTGCCTGCCGATGCAGGGGACACGAGTTCGTGCCCCGGACTGGGAGGATCCCGCATGCCGCGGAGCGGCTGGGCCCGTGGGCTATGGCCGCTGAGCCTGCGCGTCCGGAGCCTGTGCTCCGCAACGGGAGAGGCCACAACAGTGAGAGGACTGCGTACCGCAAAAAAAAAAAAAAAAGAAGTCAACTAAAACAAATTATTTTTGGCTTTGATACAGAAACACACACAAGAGCAGGCTAATTAACACATCTTTGTGTACACAACTTATTAATATTATTTGAGTTTATACTCTTTCTGATTTGGCCCTATTTTACCTATTTAACCAATAGTCAGGGCTTGGCAAACTATGGCCTGTGGGCCAAATCTGGCCCACTGCTTATTTCTGTATGGTCCCCAAGCTAAGTATGGTTTTTACAGATAAACATTTGCTGTCAAATGTTTGAACCTCAGTTAAGTGAAATGTTACCCCAGGGGGCGAAAAAAATTCCATTCTTCTCATCAGTTGAGTTGTATTACCAAAAAAGGTACTCAAATATTTATTATATTTTGACTTTTGTCAGTAAAAATCTGTGGAAATAATATTTAAACCCTTGATATTAATAATATAATATTCTTATTTTGCCTCTTGGCGTACAATATACATGATGTGGACCTTTACAGAAAAACTTGACTGAGCCCTGCAGAAGAGAAAGGAGGTCTGTACCACAATGGAAAATTCCCACATACCAACCTATTAACAATTTTTAGACAGAAGGAAATGAAAATGATTATGTGTTGTCCTTTTTTGTTTTGGCTTTGTTGTTTTCTGTCTTTTTAATCTTTTTAAAGAACTTTACTCTTTAGAACAGTTCATGGCAAAATTGAGCAAAAAGCACAGAGAATTCAGTTCCCATATACCCCCTGCCCTCACACTCGCACAACCTCCCTCATTATGAACATCTTCCATCAGAGGGGTACATTTGTTACAATTGATGAACCTTCTTTGATACAGCATTGTCACCTAAAGTCCATAGTTTACATTAGGCTCACTCTTGGCATTGTAATACATATTACGCATTTTGACACCACTATAGTATCATACAGAATAGCTTCACTGTTCTAAATGTGTTGCCTTTTCAAAAAAGTAGTCTGTGTAAAATTTCACAAACTGTGAAATGCAAATTTGAGATCTTATATTTACCCCTTTTAGACATTTCAAAAATAATTTTTGAATAGCCTTTCATATGTATTTGTGGGATTTATTTATTTACTTATGGCCGCACCGCGGCATGTGGGATCTTAGTTTCCAGACCAAGAATTGAACCCATGCCCCCTGTAGTGGAAGCATGGAGCCCTAACCACTGGACCACCAAGGAATTCCCCCTTTTAGACATCTTTATTAAGAGTTAAAAAATTACTCACCAACTCATCTTTTTTGCCATGATGACTAATACTTAGTACAGAGACGCTCAAGAGAGAGCTGGGCCACATCTGTCTTTTGCACATCCATAGCTGTCACTTCTAGAACTTATCACAGTCCCAGGCAGGTAGTAAGGCACTCAATAAAATCGTATTTTCATAAATTCATCCATTCAACAACTTGCGTCAAGGCCTACATTAGACAAATTCATATTCCTACTAATTCCCTGAATGCTCATAACAGCCTTTTGAGGTAAATATTCCTACTCCCTTTTTTCTTATTAGAGATAACCTAGGCTCAGAGAGACCATGGACCTGGAATTCAAACTCAGGTTTCTCAAATCCCTGGGAAGTTTTAGCTAAGTTTCCACCATAATGTAACACATTTATAATGACTCATATTTTTAAAAAATTAAATAAAAACAGACTTTTTAAAAACATAAAACAGAACTTGCCGGTTCATAAACTTTTCTTACCTATGGTGTTAAAATGTCACTAAAGAGGGACAACTTCTCAGTAGAAAGTTGGGTAAATACACCTTTCAGAGCAGTCTCGGGATCTATAAGGTGAAGAACTTCAGTTGGACACGAAGGCAGACATTTTAAAGATTAAGAGTAAAAAGTGATTTTGCATAAGTTAAGCTGCAAAGTGATTAACAGTACTTTTAAAAAGTATTGTAGGGACTTCCCTGGAGGTCCAGTGGTTAAGACTCTGCGCTTCCACGGCAGGGGCTGCAGGTTTGATCCCTGGTTGGGGAACTAAGATCCCACATGCCCCGTGGCGTGGCCCAAAAAAAATATTCTATATTTTATTCACATGGTGTTCAACACGTCTCATTACAAAAATACTATATAGGATTTACTCCAATTTTCTTCATGTATATTTTAAGTAATGATGTTTTCAATATAAAGTTATTGCCCATCTCAGAACAATGGCACAGAAAGTTTGAAAGTGAGACTGTCTCAGAAAATCCAAAACATGTGGCCTCTCCTTTACTTCTTTTTTTAAAAAAATAAACTTATTTATTTATTTATTTTTGGCTGCGTTGGGTCTTCGTTGCTGTGTGCGGACTTCCTCTCATTGCGGAGATCGGGGGCCACTCTTTGCTGTAGTGCACGGCTTCTCATTGTGGTAACTTCTCTTATTGCAGTGGCTTCTCTTGTTGCAGAGCACGGGCTCTAGGCTCGCGGGCTTCAGGAGCTGTGGCTCGAAGGCTCTAGAGTGCAGGTTCAGTAGTTGTGGCGCACGGCTTTAGTTGCTCCGCGGCATATGGGATCTTCCCAGACCAGGTCTCGAACCCGTGTCTCCTGCATTAGCAGGCAGATTCTTAACCACTGCACCACCAGTGAAGCCCCTCTCCTTTACTTCTAAAGGTCCTTTCTAGTTTGGGCAATTCGTGAGTCAATAATAATCTAAAGTAGTTAGTCTTTTTTTGTTTTTAAAGACGATTTTATTCTCATACTACTATATCACTTCTATAAAACAGAAAATTAGACAAAGATGGTTCTGGACATACCCCCCGCCCCACCGCACCCTTTATCCCTGCTGAACAGTGGGTTCTGACTCAATCCTTCCCTCCCACTTCTCCCCTTTGCAAGCAGCGGGTCTGAACAGGGTAGAAATCTCTTCCCTCTTTTTATACACCTCCCCCAACACACACCTCTACCCTCACACAATTTACCAAGGCGTCTGTTATATGCCTAGCTCCTGCCCTCAAGGAATCTACAATCTGGGGAAGACAAAAAAATGTAGATAATTATAATTTGACACAAAGTGAATTAGTGGTTGTAATAAAAGGTAGAGAAGGAGAAAGACTCTGGAGACCTTAAGGATTATTAATTCCATCTCAGGCAGGCCAAGAAAGTAGTACTTTTGTTCTTCGTGCAAAATTAGGAAATACATAGATCTCATAGAAATGATTTCAAGGCACTTGTTTACTTAAAAAAATATTAACACAATGCAGCATTTAAAAAACCCAAAATATACTTTCTGTTCTTTCTTTCTTTAT